GCAGGCTGCCCCAGGCTCCATGTCACTGCATCCAACACAGGCTGCAGGCCCTGACTTCCAGTGATGACCCTCAGCAGCCCTTCCTCTCCAGGGTAACAACCAGCACAGTAGCACCCCTCATCAGCCCACAGCTCCAAGCTGGGACCACTAGGGTTAGTGTTTCACAGCTCCATGCTAGGACCACCAGAGTTAATGCCTCACAGCTCCAACCTGGGACCACCAGGGTTAATGCCTCACAGCTCCAACCTGGGACCACCAGGGTTAGTGTCTCACAGCTCCATGCTGGGACCACCAGGGTTAATGCCTCACAGCTCCATGCTGGGACCACCAGGGTTAGTGTCTCACAGCTCCATGCTGGGACCACCTGGGTTAATGCCTCACAGCTCCATGCTGGGACCACTAGGGTTAGTGTCTCACAGCTCCATGCTGGGTCCACCAAGGTTAGTCTCACATCTCCATGCTGGAACCACCGTGGCCAGTGTCTCGCAACTCCATGCTGGGACCACCAGGGTTAGTGTCTCACAGCCCCATGCTGAATCACTAGGATTAATGACCTCTAACTGTATGCTGTGACCTATTAGAGTTAGTAGCCCACAGCTCCATGCTTGGACTACCAGAGTTAATGGTCCACATCTCTGATGTGAGACCCACCAGGGCACCAGGCAGGTGTGTGGGAAGCAATGGTTCTCAAACACAGATGCTGCATTAGTGCACCTACACTATAGGATCCCAGATGCTTCAAACACGCAATTGTCCGACTGTCTCCATAGAATAGGTTGGAGAGCCAGGTCCAACACTCTCAGAGTCTGTTCGATATGTGAACAACCCCATGTTCCATTGCTCCAGTCTTTAGTCCTCAGGACCAACAATAACGTGACAAGGAGACCTGAACCTCACTCTAGGTGCCCCTTCCTCACCAGGAGACAGGATAGTGTCAGTAGGCACACAGCAAGGACAGGTACCACACAGAATCCCCTCAGATTCTACAGAAGTGACAGGAACATCACTGTCTGCAACCTTCGAACTCTGGGAGTTAAAGTGAAGGAGGGTGTCCTTGTATCTGAAAAGGAGGCACTCAACATGTCTGGACCCTCAAGACACAATCGACCCCAGGATCACTGACCATAGATACAGAGTAGGAAGGAAAGAAGGTTGGTGGCTTGGATGTCACTGTATATTAGTGCTCATGTTTGTAAATAGATATGCAATGTTCCATATCATCTGTGTCCCTGTCTAGCTATTACTGTCTCATAGCTCCATGCTGGTCCACCAGGGTTAATGTACAATGAGGACAGTTATCCTGATCCATGCATGAGTTATCATGGAGCAATGGCTGCCCTGAGAAGTTGCTGCACTAGTGAAGGTGTACACACCAATGGGAAGGGACCCTGGAAACTAGTCAACATCTCTCCACGTGGACAGTCATTGCTGTTGCATCACTGGCCTCCCTGGCCAAAGGTTTGGTCTTGTATGAAATGGTCAGCCATGCTTGGGGCAGAGAGATGCACTGCACAGAGTGGCCTGATGGACACCAGGACCTGGGAGCGCACTGTGCGGCCCTCTGCAGTGCAGAGCTCTGTGTGTAATGTTGTTGCCCTTTGAAGAGCCTCACCACTGGATTTTGCAGCCCCTTCTCTCACAGCTCGAGGCACTTACTCTGCCCACTCTGAGTGCAGGCCATTCGCTGTGCCATTGCACACATGTGATTGGCAGAATGATGGAATCTGATAATGAACACTCCTCAGACAGTGAACTCCAGGCTTTCCTCTAAGAGTCAGTGAAGCCTCCATACATAAATATCTCATTCTTGCAGGACTTTCGGTCAGCCCCATAGGCTTCACACCTCCCCAGGTGCCCACTCAACCCATCAGCATGAGGCTGCATCTGCCCACCTTTCCGCACCAAGCCCCTGGCATATGAACTGACCATGCCAGGTGCGGTCATACACTGTCCACCTTGGAAGCCAGGCTGCACTAATCAGAGGTCAAGGGTTACCAAGGAAAAGCAGGAGATTGCGGTTGAGAAACGTATCAGCCGTGATCAAATGGTGGAGCAGTCTCGATGGGACAAATGGCCTGATTCAGCTCCTAAATCTTATGGTCTGATGGTCCCACATGCTCTGTCATATCCCCACTTCCACACAAAGTGTTCCCCTTCATGCTTCCTGCCTCCCAGCTCCCTACCCTCCAATCCAGGCAGGTTCCCCAGCCTCCTTACCTCAACATCAGTCCTCTCCCTGCAACCTCACCCACCCGACCCCCTTGTATTTATTGGATGGACCCAACAGACTGACCATGGCCCATCCCATTGAGTGACCTAATTGGACAAAACCCAAACAAGAAGTGCCTATCCCCTTTGTCTCTTGCCCAAACTCTTCCCTGCCTGTGTTAGCCCTTTCCCACCTCCCTCCTCAGAATGGCCACTATGGAGCCACATGGGTGAACCGTGACCCCACTTCCTGCAAAGGACTGAGACTGGTCTGACCAAACACTTGGCCTTGAGGCAGCCCTTGCCTGTCTGTGTTGGGACCCCCAGACTGACAGCTGTTTCCATCGACTTTAGGGAGGGCCCGCACTCCCCTCAGCCTTGGGGACATGACCGTCTGCTTGCAGCATATACCGTGTGTTTATCGCATACACTGCTTGCACATGGTGGAGGGGTGAGATTGACGTTACAATATACCACACAGCAAAATGTCCATCCCTTTGACTACAAACCAGAATTCCAAATCGCACTCCCAATCGCAAGGTTTACCATTTTGTTGCAGATTTAAAGGCCTCTTTATTGATTTTGGTAACAATGATTGCACACTTTACTTTCGGGGATTTTGCAGTTTAAAGGAAAGCATTTTTTGTTGTAAACTTCTTTAAGTGTTGGCCATTGCTTGTTTACCATCATATCTTTTAATGTAGTTCCCTAATCCATCATAAATAAATTGCACCTCACAGCTTCATAGTTTCCTTAAGTAAAGAAGATGAGTCAATGTGAAGTAAGGTGGGAATGTAAAGTAGGTTAGTTAAACTAAATTTAAAATAGCCTTAGTTATGGATTCCTGAAGAAACGTCAACTTTCTTGTTTCTCTGATGCTGCCTGGCCTGCTGTGCTCCTCCAGCTCCACACTGTGTTATCTCTGACTCCAGCATCAGCAGTTCTTACTACCTCTGAGTGAGTTATAACCCCACCGCAAAGCCTATTTTCTGAAGAAGCGTCCCGACCCGAAACGTTAGCTTTCCTGCTCCTCTGATGCTGCCTGGCCTGCTGTGTTCCTCCAGCTCCACACTGTGTTATCTCTGACTCCAGCATCAGCAGTTCTTACTACCTCTGAGTTATGGATAACCAAGCTCTACTACAGAGTACTAATTAGTTAACCAGCTAACCAATTCCATTTCGTTTCTGCAGTCTCAGTTTTGAAACGTACAAATACAGAGGTTTGGGTACAAATTGTATCGGGAGGGCTGATAGAGTGAGACCATCCCAGTGTGGTGAGTGGGGAAGAGGTACTGCTTTATTTTCTACTTTTCCCATCCTCTGGTATTTGGATACGGTAGCAATCTGAAAGCCGGAGATGCATGTAACTTCTGCAGTAATTGGCGACTTTAATATACACGTAGGTTGGGTCAGCCCATTCAGACCTAATGTTGTAGACGATGAATTCCTGGAGGGTGTATTAGCTGAGTTTCCAGTGTAGTACAGTGCTGCATCTATACAGAACCCTGGTTAGAGCCCACTTAGAGTCCCGTGAACAGATCTGAGCATCACAACTTAGGAAGGAAATATTGGCCTTGACGTGAGTATGGTGCAGGTTTAAGAATGATATCTGCAATTCAGGGATTAAGTTATGACGAGGGATTATATAAATTGGGTCTGTGTTCAGTAGAATTCAGAAGGTTAAGGGATGATCTGATCGGTCTTCAAAATATTATCAGGAAAAGACAGGGTAGATAAAGATAAACTATTTCCACTGGTGGGGATTCTAGAACTGGTGGTTATAGTCTGAGAATTAGGGCCAGACCTTTCAGGAGAGATGTTGGGAAGCACTTCTACACACAGTGTGGTAGATGTTCAGAACTCTCTTCCACAAACAGCAGTTGGTGCTAAATCAATTTTGTCAATTTCACTTGTCAATTTTAAATCCGAGATAGAAAAAGTCTTTTTTTAAACAAAGATATTCAGGGAAATGAGCCAAATATAGATATATGGAGTTAGGTCACAGGCCAGCTATGATCTCATTGAATGATGGAACAGGCTTAAAGGGCTGAATGGCCTGCTCCTGTTCCTATGTATATTGAAGAACTAACCAGGAATTGGGCTATTTTAGTATTGTGTAATGATAAAAAGCCAATAAATAACTTTGTTGTAAAGGAATCTCTGTGAAATAGTGACCATAGCATGATCAAATTTCACTTTAAGTTTGAATATGTTGTTGTTCATCCTTAAACTAGCATCTTTCATCAGAACAAGGGAAGCTATTTAGGTATGACAGGCAAATTGGCTATGGTGGATTAGGAAAGTACATTGTAAGGTTTGATTGCTGACAAACAATAGCTAGTTTTTGAAGAAGTATGACATTGTCTAGAACTGATGTTTATCTCTGTAAGGCTTTAACATTGGGAAAGGTGTATGAACGATGGCTAGCTAAAGTTGAAGGCTCATCAGATTAAATCTAAGTTGGCTGAATGACTGGTTTGTCATGCCGAAGTGCTGCTAACCATATAGGTTCAGTTCCTGAACTGGTTGAGTTTGCATTTCCATTCATTCTTTACTCTGGGAACCTGGGTTCAAATCCTGACATGATGGTTTGGGCTTGGCTCGTTGGTTTAGGGGTACGATTCTCACTTAGGGTTCAACTCTCAGATGAGCCCAGGATTCTTATTTCACTTTTTACAGTTGGTTCCGTGGTGTAATGGTTAGCATTCTGCACTTTGAACCCAGCGATTCGAGTTCAAACCTCGGTGGGACCTGTGGCTGTTGTGTCCCAACAAGTTGTTTAATGTATGTATGTAGTCGTGGCCAAGTGATTAAGGTGATGGACTTGAAATCCATTGGGATGTCCCTGCGCAGGTTTGAATCCTGCTGACTACGGTTGAGAGCTGAAAGGGATTTGCTCCTCGTCTTCTTAATCCGGCACGGCAGCTCGGTTGTTAGCACTGCTGCCTCACAGCATCAGGGACCTGAGTTCGATTCCACCCTCAGGCAACTGTCTGTGTGGAGTTTGCACATTCTCCCTGTGTCTGTGTGGGTTTCCTCCTACAGTCCAAAGATGTGTAAGTTAGGTGGATTGACCATGCTAAATTACCCATAGTGTTCAGGGATGTGTAGATTGGGTAAGTTATAGGCAGATGGGCCTGGGTGGGATGCTCTGAGGGTCAGTATGGACTTGTTGGGCCGAAGGACCTGGTTCCACACTGTAGAGATTCTATGATCTATGATTAAAGGAAGTGGCTTATAGGGATAACAAGATGCAGAGCTGGATGAACACAGCAGGCCGAGCAGGAAGGCTGATGTTTTGGGCCTAGACCCTTCTTCAGAAATTTCTGAAGAAGGGTCTAGGCCCGAAACATCAGCTTTCCTGTTCCTCTGATGCTGCTTGGCCTGCTGTGCTCATCCAGCTCTACACCTTGTTATCTCAGATTCTCCAGCATCTGCAGTTCCTACTATCTCTGGCTTATAGGGATACCAGGACAAATGGTAAGCCTAAGGGTTTGGAGAAATTTGGAATCCAACAAAGGAGGACCAAGAAACTGATAGATGAAGGGTAGAGAGAATTTAATTCAAGCTAGTGAGAAACATAAGAGTGACCTGTAAAAGCTTCTTCAGGTATGTGAAAAAGAAAACACTAGCTGGTACAACTGTGGACCCATTGCAGGTCATAGTCATAGAGTTTTACAGCACAGAAAGAGGTGGAGACAAGACAATTTCTAATGAAGACAGGGAAATGGCAGAGAAAATAAACACACAGAACAAGAACAGCAAACATACCAGAAACACTAAACATCCATCAGACTTGTGAAACTGAGGAAAAGAAGTTAAACTTTTCAAGTTCTACCTCCCTACTAAAGCTAACTGGATTGAAGGTTGATAAATCTCTGAACCACACAGGCTACATCCTAGAGAGATGAAGGAGGTGGCTATGAAGAGAGTTGATGCATTGGTGATGATGTTTCAAAATTCTATGGATTCCGGAAAGATTCCTGTAGACTGGAAAGTAGCAAACGTAACGCTGCTATATAAGAAGGAAGAGAGAGAGAGGATGGAAAATTACAGACCTGGTACTAAAGGCTATATACTGGAAATCTGAAACAAGTACAGAGCATGTTGGGGAAACTCAATGGGTCTATCCAATTCTGTTCACATTAACAGAGTTAATGTATTGAGTCTGGTTTGATTCTTCAGAGCTGTTAACAAATCTAAACAGACCTTTTAGTTTGACATCAATAGTGGAGAAAGTGTGGGGATCAATTATAAATGATGTGTTAATTGGACACAGACAATAATGTAAAATTGAGCAGAATCAATGTGGAATTATTAAATGGCAATCAATCACCTTTGGTAATTGGAGTTGAAGCTCTCTAAGATAGATGTGGACAAAATGATTCCCTTGAGTTTAGAACCTGGAGATATGATCCCAGAATAAAGATTAAGACACTTAAGGCTAAAGTGAGAAGGACCCTTTTCACCCTGAGGCTGGTGAACATTTGGAACTATCTAATCTACAGGAATACAGAAGCTCAGTAATCGAAAAGGTTATAGAATCATTGAAATCCTACAAATGCAGAAAGAAGCCATTTGGCCCATTGAATCTGCACCAACCCTCCAAAAAGCATCCCACCCCATCCTGCATGAGGCTTTTAACCATGGCTAGCCCACAGATCCATGGAAACTAAGGGGCATTTTTTTAAGCATAGCAAATCCACCTAACTTGCACATCGCTGGACACTATGGGCAATTTAGCGTGACCAATCCACCTAGCCTGCACATCTTTGGACTGTGGGAGGAAATTGGAGCACCCAGAGGAAACAGATGTAGACGTGGAGCGGATGTGCAAATTCTACACAGACAGTCGCCCAAGAGTGGAATCGAACCCAGGTCTCTGGCACCATCAGGCAGCAGCGTTAACCACTGTATTACTGTGCTGCTCCATGCCTTTCAAGACAGAAATTGATTGACTTCCAGAGACTAATGATGACCACAGATACAGGAATAGCACAGAAAGTAGCACTGAGGCAGAGATCAGCCATAATCTAATTTAGTGCCAGATCAGCCTTGAAGGCTGAAATGCCTATTCCTGTACACATACCCTTCAAATAATTACTTTAAGAACATAAGAATCAGTAGAAGGAGCAAGCCATTCAGGCTCTTGAGCCAACTCCATCATTCAATAAGATCTGATTGTGGTCACAAATCCATCTCCCTGTATGGCCCTAACTCCCTTGTTAGTCACTAATCTATCTCAGCCTGAAAGTGGTTAGCACTGTTGCCTCACAGTGCCAGGGTCCAAAGATGTGCAGGTTAGGGTGGATTGGCCGTGCTAACTTGCTCCGTAGTGTCCAGGGATGTGAAGGCTAGGTAGATTAGCCATGGTAAAATGCAAGGTTAAGGGGATAGAGTTGGGTGTGGGGGTAGGTTTGGATCGGAAGCCCTTTGGAGGGTCGGTGCAATTCGATGGGCCAAGTGGCCTCTTTCCTTACTGTATGGAATCTATGATTCTGCATTCAATGGTCCTGCTCGCATGGTTCTTTGGGAGAAAAAATTTCAGACTCACAACCTTCTGAGATTAAAAAATTATCCTCCTCTCCATCTTTAAGGGGAGACTCCTTATTTTTAAACTGTAGTTTAGTCTGTCCTCCAAGGGGAGGCATCCTTTCAGTGTGCTGTCCTTTTAGACAGTTGGGCCTCAGGTTAATGTCTCCTTCAGAAACTGGTGCCTTTGACAACACATCACTTCCAGAAATACTGATGGGCAAAACTGACCCGATTCAGAGGTTGTTTTAGTGATAGAGGAGGAATAATGAGCAAGCGTTTCAATTCGAAGGAAGTGATGAGCAAGTCCCATAAGATACGTACTGGGGTCTCAACTGTTCACTATATTTATTAATGATTTAGCACAATAGACAACCATATATCTAGGTTTACCAATGACACAAAGACTGGGGACACAGTAAGTACATCAGGACACAAAGTTGCAAAAAGGCATTGACACATTATGTGAAGGGACAAAGCTGTGATGGATGGATTCTGATGCAGGGCAATGTGGGACCTGGAATCAAAACAAAAAATGCTGAAAATACTCAGCAGGTCTGGCGGTGTCTGTGGAGAGAGGAGCAGAGTAAACACATCAGGTTGTTAACCCTTCGTCAGGTCAAGTCAAGCTTGATGTCTGATGATAGTTCTTTGAGCTTAGAAAAGACAAATTATCCTTGAAGGAGTGCCACACTGATTTATAGAATAGAAGCACAGATTCCCTACAGTGTGGGAGCAGGCCAATCAGCCTCTCGAGTCCATACTGACCATCCAAAGGGCATCCCACCCAGGCCTGCACCCCCCCCGCCGCCATACCCTAACCCTGTAACCCTGCGTCTCCCATGGCCAATCCACCTAGAGTGCACATCCCTGGATACTACAGGCAAATCACCAGAGTATTACCAGGGCTCCAACAAATAAATAACGAGGAGAGATTTGCAAAGTCTAAAGCTGTATCCCCGAATGAAAATAGAAGGTTGTAATGATTTGATTGAGATTTTTAGCATTTCGAGAGGAATTGATTGACAAGGTGGAGGTCTGTCTTTTTGCTGGTGGGAGAGCGTAGCACATGGGAACATCGTGCTTAGAAGCAGGAGAAGGTTATTTACGCCTTCAAGCCTGCTCCATCATATGATCATGACCTCAGCTCCACTTTCTCAGCTAAACCCCCATAAACCTTGAGCCTCTGGTCTATCAAAAACCTATCCAAGTTAGCCTTGAACAAATGTAATTTGATTTGATTTATTGTTGTCATGTATACCCAAGTACAGTGAAAACTTTTGTTTTGCATGAAGCACGGATCAGAGGCTGATTGAACAGACCCAGGAATACAAAATTACGGCTGCAAAGAATGCACACAAAAAGCAAGATCAATGTTAGATTTGAAATTGGAGAGGTCCATTCAGAAGTCTAATAACAGCGGGAAAGAAGCTGTTTTTGAGTCTGCTGGTGCATGTGTTTAAGCTTTTGTATCTTCTGCCTGACGGAAGAGATTATAACCAGATTGGGGGTGGTCTTTGATGATGTTGGCTGCCTTTCTGAGGCAGCAAGAAGTATAGATGGAAGATTGGCTTGTGTGATGGTTGGGCTGTGTTAGGGTTAGGGTTAGGGTCAGGGTCAGGGTTAACTCTTGCTATCTTTTTTCCCTTTGTATCTTTGCCAGGCTCTGTGTTTGTTCTTACACTTTCCTTTTTCCTTAGAATCTCTACAGTGTGAAAGCAGGCCATTCAGCCCACACCAAACCTCCAAAGGGCATCCCACTCAGATCCACCCCCCACCAAGCCTTTAACCCCAATTTTCCCATGGCTAACCCACCTAGCCTGCACATACCTGGACACTATGGGGCAATTTAGCATGGCCAATCCACCTAACCTACACATCTTTGGACTGTGGGAGGAAACCAGAGCAAACCCACATAGACACAGGGAGAACGTGCAAACTTCACACAGACAGGCGCATGAGGGTGGGATCAAATCTAGGTCCCTGGTGAGGCAGCAGTGCTAACCACTGAGCCACCGTGCTGCCCATTACTTAGCTGGCCATTACTTTTTTAAGTTGTCCAAAGCTACTGTTTCAACAAGCAGAACTTGCGGGTATAAATGTGTCCTGACTGTCAGACATTTCTCCTGTCCTATTTTCCAAGGGTTGGGCCATGTATCTCCATTGGATTGATCCATGCTTATGGGCACTGTATAACTGTAGTTTGACACTGCCTTTTGAAAGGTGGCTGACAAAGGAGTTCTCCAGCTCTTACCTCTATCATCAGGCACATTGGAAGCATTTACAGGCTGACAATTAACCTGATTGGCCAATCCACCTTCAACAACATCCTGGTTTGGGAT